TTATGCGAATATGCAAAAGAAATGATGCCAGTCTACGCCCACTGCCTACAGCGAAGTTGGAAATCTCGTACCTAGAGTACATTGCGCTAACGCTAATAGCGTTAGCATCACTGATATGTTTATATATATAGATCAGCGCATGATTATCATAAAATAGCGCCGTCTGCGGAATTTATCTACAATTTTGATATTCTGAGAACAACAAATTGTGTGCGATACTTATCATACTAGAACCTTAGTGCTCTGGTATCATAACTGCTGTGCAGTACCAAAATTATTTTCGTGATACCAGATTTTGAGTTCTGGTACTGCACCCAGTACCAGAATTTTTTTTCAATTTTGACCCCTGCAGCTGTGTTACTGTTACCACGGCCACAGACTAAACATGAAAACGGATAAAACACACGTACTAATCACGGACGCACATGGACAGCCCTGACAAAAAGTTCCTTATCACGAGCGTCCGTGTTTACGAAATCACTGATGATAGCATTGCGCACGGACGAGCATGCGTGCGAAAATGTCCGGTGCACTATAAATCTGTATCACACCCGCTTCGCCGGCAGCGGTTTGAAACTGTAAACAACTTGGTCAACTGATTACTTGGACTGGGGATTTCAATTAGACATTTCTTAGTAACCAGCAGTGATATTGGACAAACTAATACGCGTTTGGCTATAAGGTAATGTACTTATTAACTACACAAGGTGCCAGTTACTCTAGCATTCGTCAACATTGCATAATCAATGGACATATTATTCCTTTAAACTTTATCAAACAACATGCTAAAATCCCATGAGAAGGTAATTGTACCTACCGTATTCGTGTATAAATCGCACCCCATATTTCACCTTGAAAAGTTGGTACAAACAAATTGTACTTTAACAAGATTTCTTAGCCTTGTGTGTAAGTTGCACCCCTGATTTTTTTTTACTGAAGTTGTGTACAAAAAAGTTAGACTTATACACGAGTAAATATGTTACTTATCCAGGAATGTCCAGGAAAGGTCACTACATATAGAAGTGCGTAGAAGTAAATGTAATTGCATGTACATGTAATTATTATCATGCATGTATTATCTTCGATATGGTGTCCAGAGAGACCGGGTACAAGATGGCGTTGCGCAAAAGATGCGTTGTTCCCCGACCGCCGAAAGCGGTTAAGCCGCGCACTTCCGCGGGACTGGGCGCACGCGACCGCGGGGTGTACGTTGTATGTAGCATCTCGCGCTCCCCGCTATACGAATTCGCGCGCTGAAGGAAGGCGGGCGCCGAATGCGTATAGCGGGCAGCCTAACATCGCGCAGTTTTCGGGACACGTACATCGGCTCGGCTACATCGGCTTTGGAGGGGGGCCTTTCTGATTATAGATTGACACGCGTTTGTACATCCTCGCCGTCGTACCGTCACCTGCCGTATTTTCGTACCTTATCTGGCGTTCTCCCACTCTCTTTCTCTCTTTCTCGCACTCCCCACGGTCTGTCTCTCTCTCTCTCTCTCTCTCGCTCGCTCCGCCGCCACGGGTTAATAAGGTATCTATATACATGCATCAATGCTGCCGCAGCCAGGCACACAAGCATGCACTTGCAGCGTTTCAATAAAATGTAATGCTAAATAAATACAAAATCTATTTGCTACGAAAGTCACCGCGGCGCAAAAACTCCCCGAGCCAGGTTTGTTGGATATAGCATTTCGACCGTGCCCGGCCGCCACGTGAGCGCGGGGGAGGAGGGAGGCTAGAATGTCGCGCTCCGCCGTCTTCGTAAAAACATGTGCATATATATATTTGTGTGTCAGTGTGACGGCGTATTGTAGGATTAGCTACGTGTAAAAACTGCCACGGCCACGCCAGCACGTGCTCGCACGACGTGCCGTCGCCACGGGCAGCGCGGGGTCAAGAGGTTGATAAAAACCTCGCACGTACGGAGCCAGGTGCTTTTGGAGATAGATAGCATCTAGACCGCGCCAGCCCACGTGGAGCGCCGTACACGTCTTCGTTAAAACCTCTGTGATAGACGTAACGCTATACTCGGCAGAAGCGCACGTCATCGCGTAGCGGCCAATGTGCGAGCGCGTCATTGCTGATTGACAGCATTTCTTGGAGTTTCTTGTAGGAGCCACTACGTCTTAGCCATGAGGCGCGCCACCCCAAAAAAAGGTTAGGGGCCGTTTGGAGATGGCCTCAAGCCGTCCATCCCGAAATGTCGGTTGGATTGCGCCCAGTTTTCGCGTAGTGCGTTTTCAGACCCCTGTCTCAGATATCTGTCTAAAGGGACAAAAAGGGGGCGGCGTATTCGCGTTGGGGCGCGCAAAAACCGGGGCCGCAAGTCCGTCTAGACTACTATGTCTCATCACTGCATGTTTGTTTTGAAACCAGCCTCTATCGGACTTGTGTTATAGAGACTTCATCTTTATATGAGAAGAGCTCATTTCTATTACTAGTTTGAGATTACATTATAGCAGCTCTTGCCACATTTATGTGTGCATACATGTATTGGAACCTGTGAGTTGATTTTTCATTAAGCGAGAAAGCAAAAACTAAAATCTTGCTGTTTTGGCACAAATTAACATTTCTTAATAAAAATCTCATTTGTTACAAATTACTAATTATGCTAAATTATAGTTTATTATACACTTTGTTTTGCAGCAATGGTATTTATTCAAAAATTCACGGCAAGCTTGCGAGGATGGATTGGAGTTGTGGCACTTATGGGCATAGGAAACACCATCCAATGTTTTTATAACCATGTTTTTCTGGGAGAAAACCTATATATGGAAGGGCCGAGTCAAGGTTAGTGTTATCAATATTTAGCAGGAATTGATAGTGGTTTGCTTTTAGTGAGTAATACACATACATCGTTTGCATGCAGTACTGTAGCTGCGGCACAACTTTTTGAACGGATTTTTACTTCAGCCATTTTAGTTTTATTAATATTTTTTAAATGTTTTTTTTTCTTATTTTGATATTGTGTGTATATGACATGTGAAACAGGCCTGGAATGTCTTTACTGAATGCAGATTCACTGAACCATTGCATGTGAGTTCAACAAGCTTATCACTTGATGCAATTGGAGTATAAAGTTGCTGTTAGCGATGGACTGTTGTGTATATATATATATGTATACTGTGGCGGCCATTTGTCCATTCCCAAAGATGGTGGGACACGTCAAATAAACGTCGACATTGTTGACTACACTTGTGAGTTTCAAGTGCGGCATCAGAGCAACACGGCAGGTGGCGCACGTTACATTGTACAAGTTTGTCAGTCACAGAAGGTTGGTGATATGCCGCACGGCGGGTGCCAGTCCGATTCCTGTCTTCTTTGATCCTCAGCAGTAGCAGCAGCAGCAGCAGCGGCAGCAGCAGCAGTAGCAGCAGCAGCAGCAGCGGCAGCGCCCCTGTGTCTTTCACCGCACCATCCTCCGCGGTCTCCAGCATGGACTTCCCAGCATCTAAGGTCCAATCAAAGGCTAAGCTAGCTAGATTTCTTTTGGTCTATCAACCGCAGCTTTGGTTATCCAGTTCGATGTGAATGGTCAGTCTTTCAGCTGACCATGCAACACTACCTCAGGAAGCTTTCCTGCATCCATGAACTGGATTCTTACCTAGCAGTGGAATTTTGCGTTGATTTGGAGCCACTTGTCTGGAGAAGACATGTATTGGTTGGGAATTCCTTCCCCCACGTGGCTTTAGAAGTTTTGCCTAGACATCTCATGTTGGAGCTGTTTAGCCGCTTCTCTTGGCTGGCATGCGAAAACTACCATTCACTGCTATAGAGTAAGGTGCTGAAAATGCAGGAATTGTTCACAGACATCTTTAACTTGAGAATTAGCTTTTATTCACTCACACGTTTTGTCAGAGCCTCCAAAAGGCAGAAGCAGCCTTTCCTATTCTGGTGTCAATTTCGTTGTGAAATGAGAGAGTAGGCCTACTGTAGATGTATTATACTACTATTAACACTGATTAATGTGTAGTATTGTGTACTATATGTTCCAGTAGTTATGCAAGTATATATATATATATGCAGGCACTTGCTGCTGGTACCTATCCATATATCTGTTTCGTGTTCTAAATGTGTGCCTATATATACTCCTATAGATTGTTTATAATCCTGAGCCTTTTACTGTGCTTGGATGCTCTGGTTGCCATAATCCTCATTATTAAATGGGAATATTTAGGGTTATGGATTGGTCAAAAGGGTGATTACTGCAGCCAATGGAATTCTAGCTACTCGCAGAGGTGCAGTATCAGAGCTACCTGGACTTATTTTTATATACTCTACCTTTTTTTACAGTGACACCATTGATGGCTAGGCTTTTTGGTACATGGACCTTTCTCGCTGCCATTGTGCGAATATACTGCGCCTATGATATCACAAATCGACCGTAAGATTTTATCTACATCTAGCAGCTTTTCTGCAAAAAATTATGGTATTCTCCTATAGCCAGAGATGCTATATAGAAAGTTGTAGCTTTTATGGTGGATGTACATTACTGCGTAAGCAAATTGGCATAAATGGGTACGTAGGCTGTATGCAAGGGTGGGGTGAAGTGGTTTCACTTCTATCTAACAACACCATTAATAAAATCAACAGTCTGTATATAGAGAATATAATAGCTTTCGTGGCTCATATTCAAGATAGCGGTTGAGTAGATTTATTACTGAGCAACATATGCAACATGTGAAAATCTAATTATTACACATGGTTCGAATAGTCCTTGGAAAGTTCTTGAATTTAGTAAATGTTGATTTTGTGCTTGAAAATTCCTTGAATTTCATAAAAATGTCCTTGAATTTTTAGAAAGAATTCTTTCCTGTAATAAAAAAAAATTTTGTACCATCAATAATGTGCAAACCTCAATAAAAATTGTGTTAAATGAGCTTAAAAAGCTATAGACACGATAGACAGTTAAATGATGATCACAATTAAATTACAGTAAGTCAGTAAAATCAGTCAGTAAATCAAGGTATGTTGTAGAAGTGAGAGCGTTTAGAAGGGTTTATTAATGTGATCCAGGTAAGTTTTAGAGGTGACAATGATTAAGAATGGGGTTATTATTAAATTAATCCAGGTATGTTTTGTTCTGTGTATGAATTCCGATAAAATGTCCGATAAAATGTTCTTGAAAAGTCCTTGAAATAATTTTCAGTCCTCCTGTATGAACCATGTTACAGTCAACAGGCATATACAAATTACTTTAATTTGCCTTCTAGGTTGTATGACATCACATTGATATCATTTTTAATTGCATTTGTGCATTTCACACTGGAGGCATTCTACTATCAGTCTACGGGCTTACATGTCGGTCTGGCAACACCGTTATTGGTCTCAGGTGAGTGAAAGTTTCTTCCTGTGATAATTAATTTTCACCATTTTGCCATAGCTGGGCTCAAATTTGACCATGGCACATGGATTGAAAGTTGCGTGGTTGCCCGCCTTACATTCTGTGGTACCTTGAGCATGTTGCAGATACGCACAGCAATAAATTAAGTTGCCATGCAGCACTTTATTTTAAAGGAATGTCTGCCTTTGTGTCTATCCAACATGGTATGTTTTCCTAAAATTTCCGAGTTAACCCAATCCTTTCCCTAATAAATGTTCCCCTAAACCTGGGAGTTCTGGTACAAGGAGAGTTCTAATATAGAGCTGTACATAGCCTGTGTGAATACTTTGGGGGGGGGGGCATTTAGTGACCTGAGTAATGATGAGTGAGTACTTTCACAGCTGTGAGAGATAAACTACATGTAGGGTAAGATTAAACTGAAAGAATAATTTTTTTCTTGGACTACTATTGTAACGAGGAATGATGATATAAAGCCAAAACTTGTGTGTCGCCAAGGGGTCGGGGGGCCAAATATAAAGCCAACGTCAACAATAACAAGCGGCAACTTGTGTGTAACCGAAATAAACTTTAATAACTTGCACAGTGTAATCCCACTTTCACAAAGACAACGCAACGTGCATGCGCGTGTGCTCACCTCCCGCGACCACAATCAGACCCTCTAGACTCCTACATCTCCGTCCTATATATTCCCCCCAAAACTCTTACATCCTGCACGCACATGTACCGGTTCTCCCAGACGGCGTCCTACCCCCATTTCACAATGACCCTAGAAACTGCCTAACCTAAAAACACGCTTATCCGATTCCCTGTAACATCAATGCAGCCGCACAATATGCACGACACTCCGTCTACACAGACCACCACCAAAACAACCCCCAGCCCAGCCTCGTTACTAATTCATGCAACACCTGCAAAACACATGTTACATTATCTACCCTTTCCCCAAAACGATGACTACCCTGTCATCGATTCAGCATCTCCGCTGATCTACACTTCAACCTAAACCTAAACCTAAACAATTCAAAACAAAATTACTACCCTAATACTTATGAAACACACATATGAAACATAAGGCTTCCTATACAAAACAAGTAACGATAAAGTTCGATCAACATAGACGTCAGAAACTTAACACATTTGGCAGTGAACATTTTGATATCGCTGCAATTACTCTCACTCTTGCGTCTTTTTATGCTGTAACGTACGTGGCGTATGCGTGTACCGACACGCATTACTGAAACCACGTTTCCAGCCATGTGCTCCATTATATCATAAACCTCTTAATCCCCATTAATACACAGCACCGATGTGGACCTGACAACCTTTGTCACTTCCACACATCATACAGCCAACAAAAATATGCAAAACTGATTTCATATTTTCAATGAAATGTTTTAGGCCTATATCAAACTCTAATTGAAGAATGTGTTTAGCAGTCTGACAATATAGTGTAAACGTATCGTTACAACTTTAAGAAAACGATCACAAATTTCTACATAAAGTTTCACGCAAAAGATTTTCCACACAAAGACCGTCATGGTCACAAGCATCTACTATGAAAAAATTATACCGCTTACATAAAACAAAACAAAAACAGATAAAATACACATTCCTGACGATGTCACACTTTCACGTCCTCTGTCTCTGCTCTGTCAGCCTTGTCTTCTCTGTTCTACTCTCCTCTCTCTCTCTCTCTCTGACATAGGTCGAGACTCGACTTGCCCTCGCAGTATCATGGATGCAACACCGACCGTTCTTTCCTTCACGTTGACTTACTCACATAGTTCTCACGCCGTGTGCATATCCACTGTTCTCTCTCCCATGTCTCGCTCTGTTCCTCCCGTCTCGCTCTCGGCCATTCTTTGTCTCTGTCGATCGCTCTCCGTCGTCCTTCCTTCTCCATCTTCCTTGATCCACCGTTCTCTCTCCCGTGTCTCGCTCTCCGTTGTTCTTCCTTCTCCATCTTCCTTGCGTATGGTCCGTAGATCGATATAGTAAATCGATGTACCTTACATGTATTGCAAAACCCCGGCCCCCCCACTCCGAGGTCGGAAGGACCGCATGCGCGTTCCCAAAATCTCGGGTAAAGGGGTATTTTTGGCGCGACAAAATCCGGCCCAAAATTGTAAAAAAAAGGGGGTGTATTTGACTTTTAACCCAGAGATTTCTTTAAAAAGGGGGTGTTTTTCCTCTTTCTCTTTCATCTTGAATATCATAGAAAACTTTATCAAATCCCGGGATCAAATTCCTGAAATTCCTGCTAGTTTTGAAAGCTCATTCAGGATTATTTCATCTTGAAAAATAAAAATATTGTATATGCTCCTAGTTCCCCTCGCTCACTGAACTCTACACTACGTAGGTAGACTGGTACCCGGTCGACAGTTCCACACGCTACACTAACGTCACTACTAGGGGTGAGTATTGCGACCAAAAACCGTATTGCAATATATTGCAATACGACAAACCGTATTGCAATATTTTCGCATACGTCATTGGGAAGTGTATACCATGCATGATATAGTAACAATTGACTGGATTTTAAATATCATCATATATTGTATTATATGACATGATTTAATTTCTCATGGTTTTTCTTGAGAAACAGAAGCACGGCAATGTTTTCCGCTGACAGTGCAGCCCTCTGTGCCGTAACAATGTCACCGCTCTACTGAATACCCTGGTTTGTCTATATTCAGGCCGGACAGGAGAATATTTGCATATTTTGTCACGTGGTTTGTGTTATAACCAATCAGATGTAATCGGGTGGAGCAAGGAGGGGAGAAGCTGGTGGAGAAGGAGGAGGGGGAGAAGGGAGAAGGTGGTGGAGAAAGCTGGTGGAGAAGGAGGAGGGGAGAAGCTGGTCGAGGAGGTGGTGGAGAAGGAGGAGGTGGTGAGAAGGTGGCAGGGAGGTGCCCTTCTCCCTTGCACACCTTCTTCCTTCTCCACCACCTTCACCACCACCTTCTCCACCACCTTCACCACCACCTTCTCCACCACCTCCTCCTTCTCACCAAGCTTCTCCCTTCTTCCCTTCTTCATTCTCCACAGCTTCTTCCCCTCCTCCTTCTCCACCAGCTTCTCCCTCCTCTCCACCAGCTCTCCCCTCCTCCTCCACCAACCTTTCCCTTCTCCTTCCTCTTCTCCACCATCGCTTCTCCCCTCTTCTTCCCACATAGCTTCTCCCGCTCCTCCCCACCCTCCCTTCGTGGCCCCTTCCTTCTCCACCAGCTTCTCCCCTCCTCTTTCTCGCACCGCTTCTCCCCTCCTCTTTTCTGCCACCACTTCTCCCTTCTCCCCTTCGCTCCTTCTCCACGCAGCTTCTCTCTCCTGCCCTATCCTTCTCCACCACCTTCTTCGCCTTTCTCCCCTTCCTCTCTCCTTCACCATCTTACTTCAAGGCTCGAGTGACGTCAGGAACCCGTGATTACATCTGATTGCCGTTATAACAAACCCACGTGATAAAATATAGGCAAATATATCTCCTGTACGCGGCCTGAATATAGGACCAAACCGATACCTCCTCGGAGGCCACTGACGTGCTGGTAAATTACCCCCCTGCTGCATTAATGAGGGCTATCATACTGGCTACTGAAACTAAACTTGAACTGAAACAGTGGTGGGTGCTCGCTTGCAGCTTGCTATCGCGCGCGCGCGGGACTCAGGTGACGCATCAGGCATAATATAGACTCCGCTACGTTGCCCGTGCTCTCCTGCCTCGGCGCAACGGTTGCGCCCACTCTGACGCGCAGGTAGTACCGCGCAGTGCTCCATGCAGTGGTTGCTTACCAGTAATATTTTACTGCGTGAAATGGCGTGGGCGGCATTGTTGGCTTTCCGTAATAATATACACGCGCCAGTTGGCATAAATTTTCAGCCATTAACAATATAACATAATGGCAAGTGTCAAGCTAATATTATTTCTTGTGTATACAGCCGTATCGTAAAAAATCGATATCCGGGAAGTTGTATCGCATATATCGAGTTGTTCAAAATAATATTGCAATATAAGCGTTATCGCGTATATCGTTGCACCCTAGTCACTACGTCAGTGTAGGCGAAGGATACGTACCGGAGTGACAGTGGCGAAGCGGTACCAGTCTATACAATAGCTGTTCGGCGGATTTAGAGGGTTCTCCAAGGCAGGAAAACCGCAAAAGGCCCCGCGAAAGGGGGGTTCAGAATTTTGGCAGTCCTGAGATAGGGGAGTGCTTTCAAAGGAGGAACGAGCATATGCATACCCTAAATAACACTGAGTGGGGGGGCCGGGCCGTAGTAAGTGCTGTCACGAGCACAAATGTGACGAGGAATGATGAATTATAAAGCCAAAACTTGATCTCC